AAATTTCAGGCCGTGATGTAGTAATGCCTTATTTGGCCCAGGTGTATTACTCATCTATTGCCATGGAAAAAGTTACCTTAAAACTCAGCAGCTTGAAACGCATTTAGTAACTCACAGTTTCTGTTGGTCAGGGGTCTGGGCACAGCTTACCTGGGGTCTGGGGCTCAGAGTCTGACGAGGCTGTGATCGAGGGGTCAGCCAGGGCTGTGACCATCCCAGGGCTTGACAGGCCTTCCAGGATCACTCAGGTAGTTTTGGGCGGAATTCAGTTCTTTGTGAGTTGTTGGGCTGAGGGCCTCAGTTCCTCACTGCCTGTTGGCCAGAGTCCTCCCTCAGTTCCCGGTCACGTGGGCCTCTGCTTAGGTCAGCTCATAACATGGCAGGTGGCTTCCATCAGAGCAAGCAAGATAGGAGGCGCAACTTATGATCACAGTGATTTGTGCCAGCTACCTACACACACAGTGTTTTCTGTCTGTGCTTTGTTAACTTTGTGATGCAGGCCTGTGCAGTGTATTAGCCAGCTTTCGAGCAGAACATTGTTCTGCCCCTACTGTTTTTGTTCTCAGTAAGTTCTGTGATGGTATTGACTTTAACAGAATAATAACATTTTAGTAGCCCAAACTACTAGAAAGTAGCTCTTACATAAATAAAAGGCTTCTCATTCACCTGGATGAACCAAAGAAAAGTCACATGCATTAGATAATTTTACACATAACTTTCAAGATCTGCTGTAGGCCCAGAATGTTAGTGTGATATAAATAGATAGACCTTTTCCTCTAATCAACCAAAGGGGGTAAATAAAGAGCACACAGTTCATCAAAATTGGGCACTAAGACAAGAGTAGGGTTGTTTGGTGCTGGGCACAGCTTGTCAATAACCAGTGTTGTGGCTGGACCAGCCCTTGTGGGTCTTACTATGGTTGCAAGATGCCCTATGGCAATAACCATCAGGAAACTTTGAAAAAAATAAATAAATAAAAGTTTTGTTACAGCACCTGGAAATTACATGTACCACATAGCGAAGTTGAGGGGAAGCTGGAGGAGAAGACAGACAGTGAGTGAGCAGGCCTGGGGTTATGCTTTTATTGGGGTTGAGGAGGGCAGGGCCTAGGGTTTCATGGGCTCACGTTTTACTGGTGAATTTAAAACACAAAAGTTGGAATTTAAAGCTCGGGAAGAAAAAAAGCAAATGGCCAAAGTGGTCAGTTATAGAAACCAACTAGGATCCCTAAAACTAAGGAGCCTGGGACAGGAGGGAGGGCAACCTGGCTCTTTACGGTGTGGTGTGGCTGGCAATGTGTTTATTTGAGATCGCCATCTTTAAAGTGGCTCCCTAGGCAATGAAAACTCCAACCAGGCACTTAACCTTAGAAAAAACAAACATTGTCAGGGCTTCCATTTCTAGGAGTTTCTATGGGCTATTAATTGAATCACTCTAATTTCATATATGTTTGAAATATCGCATAATAAAAAATGAAAAAGCATATGCTAAGTAAGAATGTTTAAGCACGTCTCGTTACCTCAAGTCATAGCCAAAGGATTGCTGTCCCACATAAATGGCCCTATAGAGATTTCTCTAAAGAAGATATGCAAATGGCCAACATGAAAGGTGTTAACAGCACTGGTCTTTAGGGAAATGCAAATCAAAACCACTATGAGGTATCACCTCACACTCATTAGGATGGCTATGATTTAAAAAGAAAAGTAGGCATATGGAAACATGAGAACCTTGGAGTTTCCTCAAAAAGTTAAACATAGGGGCACCTGGGTGGCTCAGTCCGTTGATCATGGACCTGACTTCAGCTCGGGTCATGATCTCGTGGTTGGTGAGTTCCAGGCCCTCTCAGGGCTCTGTGCTGACACCTCAGAGCCTGGAGCCTGCTTCGGATTCTGTGTCTCCCTCTCTCGGCCCTTCCTCTGCTCATGTGCTATCTGTCTCTCAAAAATAAATGTTAAAAAAAAAATTTTTTTTTAAAGTTATCTATAGAATGAGCATATTACTCTTAACTATGGAGAACACACTGATGGTTACCAGAAGGGAGGTGGGTGGAGGTGGGGTGAAACAGGGGAAGGGATTACGAATACACTTATCATGATGAGCACGGAGTAATGTATAAAATTGTTGAATCACTATATTATACACCTGAAACTGATATTACACTGTGTGTTAACTAAAAGGAATTTAAATTAAAACTTTAAAAAAAAACAATAAATACATGCAGATATGAAAAAAATGGAAAACTTAGATATATAAAAGATCATCGAAAGGAAAAATTCTTCAAAAGCTGAGATCAAGTTTAAACTAGTTTCATCACCAGTAGCCGGTGATTTAATCAATCATGGCCACATAATGAACCTTTGCAAAATCCCACAAATTACGGGGTTTGGAAAGCTTCTTTACCAGAATAGAGCACAGTTATATACAGAGATTTTTTAAGAACAACTATTAAATATTGAAAATGAATTGCACAATTCCAAAATAAGTCTAACATAGATCTAAATGAGAATAAAAATAATTGAGAGAAATAACCAGAGACAGTTACTAAGAATTGCCCAGAAAAGCAGAAAGACTTTGTCCTCAGGTAGGTTTTGCACACACGTAGAGAAGCTACTGGTAAATCAAGGATAGAGAAAAAAAATCTTAAATATCTACAAGGGAAAGAGACAATTTTTAAAAAAATCAGTAAGTGAAAATGAAGCAAAAATGAACTATTGGGACTTCATCAAGAATTATCTACATATATATGCTGTGAAGGGAACTAAATATCTTAATGGTATATTCATATATACATATATGGCAATAAGTTTAAAATGAAAAGCAAGGGAATAATAATAATCAAGATAGCAATCCATTTGGGAGACGTTTTTTGGTTTTTGTTTTTTGGTTGCATGCATTTAGAGAAAGATACACAGGGGCTTCAAATATATAAATAGACTCCCTTTTTTTTTTTTATAACCTGAGAGGTGGTTTTAATAGGGTTAATTCTATTTAATATGATAATAATTATTCTTTAACATACTGATTCCCAAATTAAGAGGTAAAAATGGAAACAGAGATCCCTTGGAATTTATTTTGGAACATTTGTAAGGACATCACAAAATTGGTATTTCTCATGAGATACTATGGTCTAACAAAGTATTATATAGTTAGTCTAAAAAGTTTTTCTTTCATATACAAGTAGTGGTTTTTCTGGTAATTTAACAGATTAGAAATACAGAAGAACTTTCCACTACTAATATTTTATAAGCCATGTATAAAGGAACCTTTTTAAAAATGCAGAACAGTTTACAAAATAGTATGGGAAATCCTCAGGGGGCTAAAATGAAGAGGGATCTGAAACTGAGAAGGTGGGATTCCTCTTGAGTCATTTACTGAACCTGGAAATGAGGTTCTCATTTCAACAGCTATGCAGAGCTGTTGGATCTCAACAGCTATGCAGAGACAAGAGACAGTATCATTAATCCATACAAGGTAGAAAGGAGGAAGAAGGACTCCTACATAAAGCCTGTCTTCAGAACGATTGATGTCTTTAGCAAATATTTGAGTTAGGAGAATCCGATAAAGGAATTTAACAATGATATTACTCTGCCACTTTGTTGGCTTTTTTTTGGGAACAGAATCTTGCATTCACATTGGCTTGGGGTTCAAGTTCATCCCGATGTGTAGAGTCCAGAAAAATCTAAACAATAGATGAATCTGAAAATTCCCCAGACTTCTGCATATATTGGAGGACGAAAATTTAAATGCCCTCTGGATAAGTACATCTCAACTAGGATATTCAGTTTCCCTCTGAATTAAAAGTTGCCAAATAAGAGGGCACCTGGGTGGCTCAGTCGGTTAAGTGCCCGACTTTGGCTCAGGTTGTGATCTCACGGTCCGTGAGTTCGAGCCCCGCATTGGGCTCTGTGCTGACAGCTCGGAGCCTGTAGCCTGATTCGGATTCTGTGTCTCCCTCTCTCTCTGCCCCTCCCCCACTCATGCTTTCCTGTCTCACTCTCAAAAATGAATAAATGTTAAAAAAAGATTAAAAAGTTGCCAAATATGAAACTAAACTTAAAATTTAAAAATGCTAAGAATAGCCCTCAAGAACTAAAGTAGAATTATATTTGTGTGGATATCAGGTATTGTTTATTAGGTAGAGTCAAACATTCTTTAAATGCTTAAGGACATACAAAAATTAATAAAATATGAACAAAATATGTAATTATAAACTACTATAAGGCAGATTAAAAAACAAAACGCTTAGGAACAAAAAATAAATTAATTAAATATAATACACTGTCAATGGATGTGTGAAACAGCAGTTTAAACACAGTTGAAGAGAGAATAAGTGGGCTAGAATATTGGACTGAAGAGATTGTTCAGGGTGTAGTTCATAGAATGTGGAGATGGAAAATATGAAAAACCTTAGGGGATATAGGAAATAAAACAATAAGGCTTAACACACACTGAATTGGAACTTCACAAATCACGAGTAGGGAAAAGGACAAGTATTTGAAGCAATAAAGACATAGAATTTCCCAGATAGGATAATCACATACATGGATTGAGGCTTAATATGACACATACAGCAATAGCATATTAAGACACAATAGAATGTAGAAAAGGAATGTAGGTACATTTTAGTGAAAATATAGAATATTTTAATACAAGAAATTAAGACTACCAAGAGTGGAGGGGATTTTCCTAAAAAGAAAAAGAAACAATCTTTCCTAAAAAGAATTTTCATGAAGACAACATAATTCTCAAAAAAGTGCCAAAATTATCTACCATGTGCTTTATAGCCATATATTTACATATATTAGGATTTCCATGCTGTGACAGAAAATGTATAATTCCATATTTAATCATTTTTTTCAGCGAGAAAATTCTGTGAAATATAAGCTTGTTCTAATGAGAGTGGAAATATTTTTTCTTAAGATATTTCTATTGCTGTTTTGTTCAACACTGACCTTTCCTCCCCATATGGTATGCATAATCTTTGTTTGTTTCAGCAGGGATTAACACCGAAGGACTGTGCCATAGCCATTGGCCGCGAGCATCTGGATACACACCAAGATTGGGTCATTTGTCCATGTCATGACCATGGAAAATGAAATGATGAAGTCCACACAGTATATGATCACAAAACAACTCACTAGCAGCAGAATCATCTGAGTAGCCCTTTTTTTCTGGAGAGCTTCTTGGAGAGAAACCCTTGCTGTGAAGACATTGTGACTGCTGCTTATGTCTGAATAAGAGAATGATCATGTATCGACTTGATGGGACCATAAGACCCATGAAGAAGGTCTCTCTGAATGCCATCAGCGTGAAAAACATCCCCTGTGGAGGCGGCTCATGGGCCAAAAGGACCAGCGCTCAGTGAGGAACAGAAGACTAGCCTGGGTCTCACTGGGCATGTCTACAGCATGGAGGAACAGGTTGCTACATTGTTCAGGATCCATAAGAAGAGAAAGAAACAGGATGGGATTTGGAGATTTAAGTGTGAATTTAGCGAAGCAGGAGCTGCTGGGGATGTTGGTGATGGCCTGAAGCACACTCAAAAGGCAGGTGGCCCAAATGGGGAGTCCCCTCAGCACCTTGTAAAGGAAGACAATCACTTTACATTTGAAGTCACTCTGGATATCCCGTGTCCCCAAAATGTCTGTAGACACAAAGAACCCTATGGTGAGGAGTACCATTATATATATTATAGCTAAGTAGGTAATGGTCAGGTCAGTGAACTTGGGCTTGGGTCCCACAAGGAAAACTCAAATGTGGAGGAAAAGAAGTAAGGTGTTTCCTGAGACCCCTGTACCAGCTTGAGGATAAAAGGCACTTTTTTTATGGCAACATAACTAGAACGTTTGTTCATCGTCGTGTGAATATTAAAGCAAATAATATTATTTCTGGAAAGAAAAACAAGAGATTTTGCAACAGTAGTGCTTTCATTGACATTCTCTGACTCATCACATCACACATTTTCAATCTGTAGAATCATCATTTTAACCCAAATAATTCTACATAAATATGACTTGCTCTTAATCAGCATCGGAGTGTCACCTCAAACACTGATTCCTCCCATGCAATCATTTCTGTGTACCTCCCTTTCGCCTCACGGTGGCACTAACATCACACCCTTCTCTGTGAGCCCCCAGTACCTAGCCTCTCCTTTACGGCACACATTATTACCCTATTTAATGGGGACCTTTCGTTTACTTTCCTCTCTCTCCTGCAAATTCCCCAAGGGCAGAGATGCTGTCTTGTCTTTGGATCCACAGCATCTGGAACACTGATGCTTATATAAATTGTTCACTAAAGCTTATTGATGTAAATTTTGGACAAGAGAAAGTAAGAATCTTCCAAGTAAGCAATCCCAACAGGACCAGTCTCCCTGTTTATTTATAGAAATGGAGAATCATAAAGGATTTAGTCGGTTGTACCCTAGATCCACATGGCCTTTGTTTAAACCCAGATTCCACCCCTGACTAGCTGGGTGAACATTATCTGCTCACTTAACTTCTTTTGTCTCAGTTAACATCACAAGTAAAAGGGAGATAATACTAGTTCTTTCATCATAGCACTGTTGGAGGCATGTATAAGTCAATATATAAAAAGCATTTAAAATCTTAAAAAAAATTTTTTTAAATGTTTATTTATACTTTTGAGAGAGAGAGAGCATGAGCAGGGGAGGGGCAGAGAGAAAGGAAGACACAGAATCCAAAGCAGGCTCCAGGCTCTGAGCTGTTAGCACAGAGCTGGACGCAGGGCTCAAACTCACGAGCTGTGAGATCACGACCTGAGCTGAAGTTGGATGCTTAACCGACTGAGTCACCCAGGTGCCCCCATATGAAAAGCATTTAGAAAATGTGTGACATACATGAAGCACTATAGAACTGTTAACTATTGATTTATTATTTATCACTACCTAACTTTGGCTTGAGAGAGTTTATATATGTACATATAATGTATGTATGTGTGTATATGTACATTATATATAATATGTATGTTATACATATAGTCATATTTCCCCTCAGAATCTCCATGTGAATAGTAAGAATGGTAGAATAAATGATTCTAAAGATCTACCATAGCCATATAATTTTACCAATATAAATTTTTTTAATGTTTATTAATTTTTGAAAGAGAGAGCATAAGCGGGTGAGTGGCAGAGAAAGAGGGGGACAGAGGATCCGAAGTGGGCTCCACGCTGACCGCAGAGAGCCCGATGCAGGTCTCGAACTCACAAACCGTGAGATCATGACCTGAGCCAAATTCGGACGCTCAACCGACTGACCAGGCGCCCCTATCGATATGCATTTCTAATGGAAGCCAGAGGCACTGGGAGTCCATGCCCTTGACATAATGCTCATGAAGTCAATGCCAAAACCATTGAGAGAAATACAGAGAAACAACCGGCACAGTGAAGGGAGGCCGGATATCCCGTCTGTGGAATATACAAATGCCGTGTGCCTAGAAGAGGAACACTTAGGTCTTTAGGAAGTGTGATGCTCTTCTTTGACTGTCAAACTCTTCTATGGAATAGATCTTTATATGAAAAAAGAGCAAGAGCACCTTTGGGATGAACAAAGGAAGCTGACCCTGATGAGAGGTGGAGCGAATAGTCTTCCTTGCTACTGGAATTTACTGCCCCAAGGCATTGCTATGTGTTCTGTGAAGAAGTAGCAAGACAGAAAATGGTGTTGCAGAGTGAGGAGATGGGAAAACAGGAGGAGCTGTGCCACAAACGCAGTGCTAAGTTTAGCTGGAAGCCGAAACATCAAGTCTGGAGGTGTCTTTGTAGCAAAGAACGAAGTGGGACTTTCATACAACCTGCCAATTCTTTTGTATCTCAGCAGATAGCAGAAGGGTCTCATAACAGGTGAATGAAGCAGTCAATTTCTAGAAAACCAAGTATTTAAAATCTATATCCCAGGCATCGGTAACAGGACCAGTCGAATTCAACCCATCACACTCTTCAGAACCACAGCTGGCACACACATCACCAGTGAGGGAGAGGATACTCCAACATGAAGTTTAAGAACAACTGGGAGTCTTCTCAGTTACTTGGCTGCTATTTGAATGACACAGGACGTTCTGATATTCTTTACCTAAGCTGTGTCTTACACTGTACTCGCTCATGCCGTGAGAGTCGCTTTTCTTCTCAAGAGTAGGAGCCTTCTTCGAGTCTCGAGTCTCGAGTCTTTGAGTCTCCTCCCATGTTTCCCAAGATTACATTGTTAGATATTTGGGACTCAGGAAGGGAAGAGCCTCCATTATCATTTTCTTCTCCTTCGAAATCAATTACTGGAGAATATGCTTGACTTAATTTACATATACACCCCAAATTTGAAATCTGTGATAATTCAATGACTGGATTAAAATTCTGCTTGGCAAATATTTGAGGAAGAAAGTTCTCAATGAGATCATCATTTGAAATATGGGAGGAAGGAGAAGTGAAAACTTCTTTGGAAGATAAAATATTAATTATTATTATTATTATATTTTTTTCAACGTTTATTTATTTTTGGGACAGAGAGAGACAGAGTATGAATGGGGGAGGGGCAGAGAGAGAGGGAGACACAGAATCGGAAACAGGCTCCAGGCTCTGAGCCATCAGCCCAGAGCCCGACGCGGGGCTCGAACTCACGGACCGCGAGATCGTGACCTGGCTGAAGTCGGACGCTTAACCGACTGCGCCACCCAGGCGCCCCTCATTATTATTAAGAGAGAGGGTACATGCAGACATTAGCAAGGGAGAGAGAGAATCTTCTTTAAAAAAATTTTTTTTTATGTTTATTTATTTTTGAGAGAGATGAGAGAGAGAGAGAGAGAGAGAGAGAGAGAGAGAGAGAGAGAGACTCTGAAGCAGGCTCCCGGCTCTGAGCTGTCAGCACAGAGGCCGACATGGGGCTCGAACTCACGAACTGTGAGATCATGACCTGAGCCAAAGTCAGAGCACATCTGAGCTCATTATCTCATCTGTAAGACACATATCATCACATTAGTACTTCCTAGAGGTATTATGTGGGTAAATGCCCCAAAAATGGGAGAGCATCTGGAACATAATGATCTCTATAGATGTCAGCTATTATTTTTATTATGCCGTCCTTCATACATTTGACTTGAGAGTATTGAGTTATTTTAATACTTTTTTTTAGCTCTCTCCTTGCTTAAAAGAGCAAAAGGAAATGAGTACCAAAATAATAACTCTCATTAATCTCTATTCATAGGACACTGATGGAATATATAGTCTTTTCTCTGAATCCACCAAAACAACTATACATCTTCTGTATTGTAGAAATGAATGCCAAGAAAACCTTGTCCAAGTGAGCGGAGTCCAGGTATCAATTATTGGCAGGGCCACATTTCCAATTTCTTCTCTCTCCTTTCATTAAGACTGTGGAATCAGAGTGGTAACACTTGAAAACAAAAATAAATAGATTGTGTTAATTCCTTTCTAAAGATTTACGTAGAGGTTGGTTCTCCACTCCCATCCTGATGGGATGTAGGAGCTCAAGTTTTCACTTGAAAACTTCCTCAAGTAAGCAAGAACATTTCTCCAGAGTTAAGGAGCCCAATTATAAAACTTATACTAGGTAATTTGGTGATTACCTACACGTGGAGATTTTTATTGTGCAATGCAGACATTTTCTTTAATTCAGCTCTTTATAAGGCTAAATATAATGTGAGATACATAATATTGTAAAATAGGTCCAGACACATACTCTCGGATTTGTTATCTGAAAATCAAGAGTGTAAGGCTAAATTGTTTTCACAGCTACTCAGGGTAGTTGTCCTATATAAGTTACTAAGGCATAACTAAAATGGTTATGAGTCATGAACATGGGATGTAAAACTTCAGAGCCTGGGTGGGTATACGGTCTAAAACCTTTGGAAAACTACGGAATTCCATAGTAAGAAATAGAAAAACTTAACCTTTTCCCTAAATATTGAACTAGTAAAGTGATACAATTTTCTCTGTTCATAAATTCAGCAAATTAAAGTTTGCTTCTATTATATGTCAAGAAGAAAAAACAAAAATATTAATCTATTTGTGCAGCTGTCTCTGAGTTTTATTGGTCACACACTATCATTAAGCACATGACCCTAAATGGTCTCCTCTGTTTTTCAGGTACTTATGAGTGACATACACATATTTCCTGTACATCTATTTCATGGAAGTATGTAAAAACAAATTTTTTAAAGTATATAACAAATACACTGATCATGGTTTAAATAATAACACTAAATAAATATATAACGTTTAAAATATATATTTAAAAGAATGAAATAAGGGGCACCTGGGTGGCTCAGTTGGTTAAGTGTCTACCTGTTGATTTCGGCTCAGGTCATGATCTCACAGTTCGTGAGTTCAGGCCCCACGTTGCAGACAGGGTGGAGCCTGCTTTGGATCCTCTCTCTTTGCCCCTCCCCTCCCCTGCTTGTTCTCTCTCTCTCTCTCTCTCTTTCTCTCTCAAAATATAGAAATAAAACTTAAAAAAAAAGAGAAATAAACTAAAACATTCTAAACTTGTATTTTCTCATGTATTTCTGTGAAACACAGGCTTTGCTTTAATTCGGCTTTTAAAAATTGAGCCTTACAATTTTGTAAAGCTGGCCAAGTAGCATGTCCTAATGGTTTATAAATTGAGGATATAGGACTATATTACTTTTTTCAGCATTATTTAGGGGGCAACAATAGCCAAATTATGGAAAGAGCCCAAATGTCCATTGACTGATGAATGGATAAAGAAGATGTGACATAATTATACAATGGAATATTACTCAGCCATCAGAAAGAATGAAATCTTGCCAATTGCAACAACATTGTTGGAGCTAGAGAGTATTATGCTAAGTGAAATTCTGTCAGAGAAAGACAAATACCATATGATTTCATTCACATGTGGAATTTAAGAAAGGAAACACATGAACGTAGGGGGAAAAAAGAGGCAGACCATAAAACAGACTCTTAACTGTAGAGAACACACTGAGGGTTGCTGGAAGGGAGGTGGGTGGACGGATTGGTTAAATGGGTGATGGGGATTAAGGAGGGCAGTTGTGATGAGCACTGGGTGTTGTATGTCATGAATCACTAAATTCTATATCTGAAACTAATATTACACTGTATTTAACTAACTGCAATTTAAATAAAAAAAAACAAGAAAAATCAATAAATGTTTAAGGAAAGGCAGGAGTGTGCGTGCATATGCCATGAATTTACCTCGACATTTAGGATATCATGGTATATGTGGGTCATTACCTAAAACCACTGGTAAATATTGTTTCTTTTTTTTTTAATTTTTTTTTAAAAACCCACTGGTAAATATGGTTTCTTTTTTTTAAAAGTTTTTTAATGTTTATTTTTGAGAGAGAGACACAAAGCATAAGTGGGAGGGGGGCACAGAGAGAGACACACACAGAATCTGAAGCTCGCTCCAGGCTCTGAGCTGTCGGCACAGAGCCCAAAGTGGGGCTTGAACTCACAGACCATGAGATCATGACCCGAGCCAAAGTCAGACACTTAACTGACTGAGCCACCCAGGTGACCTAATATTCTTTTTCACAGGAGAAAAAAAGTGGATCTCTTTTCTCCAGAGTATTGATCAGGAAAAGTGATACAATTGAATGCATTCACAAACACCCACTTACATTAGCTCACACGAAGTGCCAGAAAACAAGAAATAAAATTCTAATCATCCAAGTGTATCCAAACTTCCTGGATCATACACAACTGTATTAGTGAAACACACACTCCAAATATCTATGTTCTTTATTTGTATGTCGATTATAATTATAAAGAAAAGTATATACTTACTTCTGTGCTTTATTAGAAAATATTCTGGAGAATATGAACATTTCATAAAAACAAGCTAAAAGAAATTCTCTTTGTGCGTCCTCTTACAACTACCCTTGATCACGCTCACCACCTGACTCGCACATCACTGTTTAGGTGAGCAGGGAGCAGAATATCAACTGAGCGATCAGCAGGCTGATCTAGGAGACCCTCCTCAAATAAGGCTCTTAGGAGTGGGTGATGCCCAGATAGTGCCTGCCTTGCCTAATGTATCAAGGACAAAAATCTCATTTTACAAATTGGAGAAAAACAGATGTCCTCAAGGTGACTTGAGGTTCTGATCAAAATGACATAAATCACAGGAAACATAATATGAAAGAAAAATCTGAAATAGATCATACTCTAAGAGCCACACTGTGAAAGAGGAAAAGAAGGGCTAAGTGAGCAAATCAAAACAAAAGAGAGAAGGAGGCAAAACAAAACAAAACAAAATACAGTGGGAGTAAGAAATGTCAAGGCAAAACATGAACATTCATATGGGAAAATTACCACCAAGAGCCATTAGAACTGATCATGAAGGCTGAGGTTTCTTCAGGAGAAAGGGAGCACAACCCTTTAAAAACTTGATCAGGGGGGGCGCCTGGGTGGCGCAGTTGGTTAAACGCCCGACTTCAGCCAGGTCACGATCTCACAGTCCGTGAGTTTGAGCCCCGCGTCGGGCTCTGGGCTGATGGCTCAGAGCCTGGAGCCTGTTTCCGATTCTGTGTCTCCCTCTCTCTCTGCCCCTCCCCCATTCATGCTCTGTCTCTCTCTGTCCCAAAAATAAACGTTGAAAAAAAAAAAAATTAAAAAAAAAAAAAAAACTTGATCAGGGAAGCAGTCACCTTAGACACTGTGTCATTCTGCAATTACCTGAATCACGAATAATCATGTGACACAGTGTCTTCCAATTGGCTGCAAAGTAGTGAAGAATGCTAAGCTCACTGCACTGGAGTCGGTGGTCAGAGAAGTGGAGAATGTGGTGAAGGAGGAAACTCTTCCCCAGACCCCAGTGCAAATTTGGGCAGTATGACCTTGTGAGTGGGACAGATTACAGGGGGGAAGGAAGAACGGGAGAGCACATCTGCTTTCACTGTACAACATGAGCATACAAATGCAGACATTTCTTAGGATGGAGATAATGTCTAAATAATATGATTTATCTTCAGCACTTACTTACATACAGCAAAGAGCATATCATCATATGGGTCAATTTCACCTTCATTGTCATCATTATAATCCTCTTCCAGAAATTGAAGTGAAAATGAACAAAAACGATCTGGGACGCTAGACTAACAATATACTA